TGGAACTAACGACTGATGGAAGATTTTTTTTTCAAAGACAAGTTTTCTCTCTAGGATACTCAGGTCAGCCCTGAATTCACGATTCTCCTGCCGCAGCCTCTGGAGTGCTGGGGTTACAGGTGTGCACCACTATGCCTGGCTGATGAAAATGAAACTACATTGAGCCTTTTATTCCACTGTTTTAAACATTGTGCAAAGGACACCAGGGACGAGCAACCATGGGGAACGAACCGGTGCCTAGTGCACTGAAAGCTGGTGCAGGGCGAGAATTTCACCACGGTACCCTGTGCAATGCAAGCTTTGCAAGGGAGGAGAATCTCACCACAGGTGTGCAGGATAATTGCCTCCTGGTGGCTCTCACAGAACACAGGCATTTTCAATCATGCAGAGCAGAGCAGGCTTTTGACCCTCTGTTCCCTGCTGGGGCCCAAGGCCCAGATCATCTGGCCGGCCGAGGCCAGGTGGGGTGGAAGAGGCGGCAGCCCCAGTTTTTTTTGGGGGGGGGCGGGCGGGCTTGGAGGGACTGGGGCCAGCTGGGCTTCCTGCAGGGCAGATGGAATGAAGTTCTAGGGAAGCAGCCGCGGCCCTCCCTCACCTCCGCTAGCAATGTGTGTGTCAGCAGAATCCGTTTCTTCTTTTTATTGCCTTGGAGACGTATGCTGACTTGGTCAAAACCGCTTCTGCAAGATGTGACTGATGATGTGTGAGGTGAACCGTCCTGGCTGGGTCCGGAGAGCAGCCAGCTGGGGTGGGATGCGGGGCTGGGCTGGGTGGGCCTCGGGTCGGAACACAGTCACCCCGTTCACAATTCCAGGCCTTCTTTCAGCAGAGCCGGCCCAGGGCCCAGGTGTGCCGCACTCCAGGCAGATCGGGTTACAGCACTGGAGCCCCAGGCTGGGTGCCCTGGCTCTGGAGAACTGGGAGGGGAATGGTGGGGGTGGGGGGCTGGCTGTGGGAGAAAAATGACTGGGAAGTCCCTGGGTGCAGGCGGGCCTGGGGTGGGGGCTGGGGACCTGGGCAGATGGAATGCAGGGTTACCTTTCATCTCCCAGCCCCGGGCTGGGCTGGGCTCCCTGACACCCACCATTCTCTGCTCACCAGGCCAGGTTAGCTTGGTCTCTGCTGGGCCCCAAATCACACCATCGGGAAAGGCTCTGTCCCTGGTTATTTTTAAACTCAGATTCTTATCTGGATGGTACTTCTGTGACTGGGGGCGTGGCTCAAGTGGTTTAGCACTGGCCCAGTAAGCAGGAGCAGCCCTGAGTTATTAAAAAAAAAAAAAAAGAGGTGCATACCAGTGGCTCATGCCTATAATTCTAGATTGAGATCTGAGGATCACGGTCTGAAGCCTGCCCCAGGAAAGACTCTTATCTCTAATTAAAAACATCAAAAAATTCCAAGTGGAGCTGTGGCTCAAATGGTAGAGCACAAAAGCTCAGGGACAGCACCCAGGCCTTGAGTTCAGGCCCCACTATGAGAGGGGGGAGGAAGAGAGAGGGAGAGGCAGGGAGAAAGGTGGGGTGGGGAGGGAGAAGTAGAAGTGAGGCTAGTCTGATAGAGCACCATCCAGTCTTGAGTAAAAAAGCCAAGAAAGAACTGGAAGCCCTGAATTCGTGTCAGTACACACTCACACTCATACACACTCACACACACACACACACAGATTGATACTTAGTTTCTTCCATGCACAGGGTGCCCCCATGACTTGCCCATTCTACAGAAGGAAACGGAGGCAGGCAGAGGTGAAGTCCCTCCCTCATCGTACCCAGCACCCAGCTGGCAAAGGCAAATGCAGATGAGTGTGGGGACAGGTGGGCACACTGCCCCCTCCACCCTGAAGGATTGACCCCCATCCTATTGTCCCAGGCCCACACAGACTCCAGGCAAAATCCCAGGTATGTGTGAACTCCACCTAAGCCCAGCTGTAAACATCCCATTGTGGGCCCAACTGAAAGGCCCCCACCTTCCTTGAGCTAGGGGCGTTTTCACTAACCTCTACTTCCTTGCTAGAACCTCCTATAAAAAAAAACCCAGATCCTGACCCAACTCTTAGGCACAACCCAAACCCATGGGAAGGTCTGAGCCCCTGGCTGATCCTTTTACGTTCCCCTCCATTTTCCTAACATACCTGAGACTCCCCATCAATCCCAGGTCTTTCTTGAGTGTGGTCCCCCCCTCCACTCCACACCCGGGTCTCCCCAGGGGGCTTCAGTGTCTCTTGCTTCCTGTTTCTGAGAGCCTGGAGTAGTATTGGGGGCTTCTATGGGGAAGGAGGCAAGGAAGAGAGACAGCCCCTCCTCCCCAGAGCGATCCCTGGGAGATAAACTGAGGGGGGTGGGGGAAGAAGGGGGAGCCTTATCTCTTCAGTTGCCATTGGAGCCCCTGGGGTGAGGGGCCTGGGAGACACCTGGCTCTTCAGGTTTGGCAATGATTCATCCAACAGGTTTTTTTACTGAGCACCTGTTGTGTGGGGGACTGGGGGGGGGGCCTGGAGAGGTGATGCACCCTGGGGCTGAGAGTGGGTGACAGAGGATGCAGGTGTGGGAGACGATGCCTCCTGAGTCTCCTTTTTATTGCAGACTTTGGAAAGAAGCCACCTCTTCATAGCCATGGTGTCAGCGCAGCTGCTGTGGCTTCACCCTGGGCAGCCTGCCCTGGTGGCACGGGCAGGGCTGAGGACAAGGCTGGTTCCTGTCCCCAGCGCTGCAGGGCCCGTGTGCTGGCCGGTTCCCCGGCTGGCAGCTTCCCCTGGGAGGCTGTTTGACCTGGTCTCACCGCTCCTCAGGATCCAGGGCCAAGGCTACACCTCCAGCAGCCCCCGTGGCCCGCCTCCCCTCCCCTCCCCTCTGTCTGATCACTCGTCACGGGCTGAACAGTCACGGATGGATGGTGGTGACTCCCGGCTGGCCGCTAGTAGGATATCCTCACAGTTTGGCTGAGGGACCATCTCCCTCCTGGGTTCTGTCTCAGAGAGAAGCAGAGGGCAACAACTGGCTTTCCCCGGCCCCCCAGCTTGACAGCAGGTGTCTCTGGGACCTGGCCTTGCTCTCTGCTTTGTCCTCACTGGGCACTGGTCAGCACCAGCCGGTCACATGACATTCTGGGCCTAGTGAAAATGAGAGCAGGGGTTCTCTGGCCCTTGATTATTAAGAACTGGAGTGTGGTGACCGCAGGGCCTCAAGGGCGGCAGCCACTTTGCCCACATCCTGTGTGGAAGGAATGAACAGGGCAGGGCAGGTGAGGGGCGAAGGAGCTCAGATCTGTCACACTCTGCAGTCCAAGGAGGAATAGCTGGGCCAGGTTGGTCCTTGCTTGGCTAAGGCGTCTCCTTCTTTCTCCATGTGGCCTCTTGGGCTGCCATATTGTCCTTAAGTTCCCCAAAAGGAGACCTAGAGAGCCTCATGGCTGGTCAGAAGCTGTAGAAGACCAGGATGCTCCAACTAGCCCCTAAGAAAGGCTCAGCCAGAGTCCCTTTCTTAGACTCAGACCTTCAATTGCTTACCCCAACACTTGGATCACCCACAAAGCCCGGCCACAGGAGAGCAGGAGGAAGAGGTTGAACTATAACCCCACACATGGCCCTGGCTTCCAGGCTAGGTATGGCTTTGCTCCCATTTTTACAGCTGAGGAAAGAGGCTCCTTGGACTAGTAAGGCATCATGTCCCACCAGGCAGAGAGGACCCTGGTAGTTCTGAGTCACCTGGGGCCTCTTTGGATGAGTGGGTGGCTCCTTCTTTGTGAGGTGGGGAGAGGGAAGAGAGGAGGTGTGTGTGGGGGGGGCTGAGGAGAGGCCCAGCCCCTTGGTGGTGAACTGCATCTGCACTGCTAGGGCCAAGGGGGGACTGAGGTGTCTGTCCGGGGCAGAGGGCTGGGTGGGGATGTGCTCCCCTGCACACACATTTCACTTGTACACTCAGCAAATACAGTTTGGATCCTGCAGCCCCGGTGGCTTTCCCACAGGGAGCTAAGGAGCTCCTGAAAACACGGCGGGCCTCCACCCCTAGGGGTGTGGCTCGCAGTGGGGACAAGAGCATGAAGACAAGGCAATTCTAGACAGTGAGGGAAATCACAGAAAAGAACACACATGTGTGTGCCTGGTGTGAGAAGGGGGAGTGGCTTTATCACAGGGGCCCAGGTAGGAGTGTGTGTGTGTGCACGTGTGCACTCAGGCACAGAGTAAGGCTAGTGAGGTCAAGCCCGCAGTAGGTGGGGAGGGCGGCCGACGCGACGTGCTGGGTGGAGGGAATGTTAGGGGTTCAGAAGGACGAGGCAGGCTCCAAGGTCACCACCTCCGGGGAGCCCTCTCCCATTTCTGCGCCGCTTCTCACCACAATCACTGCCCGACTCGCACCGGTCGGCACAGTTCTTTCCTGGTCCCAGGGAAGGGCCGGGCGACTCGGACTCCGCGCTGCTTCGCACCCCCGGGAGCGGCCGTCTGGGTCCGAGGAACCCGGTGGGCACGGCGAGGCATTCGCGGAGCGCGCTGCGGAAAGGAGGGAAGGCGGCCATTGGGCGCAGCTGGGAGAGGGCGTGGCCGAGCGCAGGTGGGAGGCCGGGCGCGGGCGGGGCGGCGCCAAGCCCGCCCTCCTCCCCCACCCTCCTCCTCTTCCCAGGCCCCAGCGCGCACCACTCCGGGCTCCCCGGGGCGGCTCTCGTGAGGTCGCGGGGCTGGGGGAGCAACTCGGGGTCCCTTCCTCCCTGGCCAGAGTTCCCCAGAGCGTGGGTCGCCGGCGCCCCAGGGCGAGGGCGCGAGCGGAGCCCGGGGAAGGAGCGCGCTCGCCGCCTCCCTGGCCCGGCTCCGGCTCTGCGGACTCTTAGGTTGCTGGCTGCTCCTCCCACACCCGCGCCCGCCTCCCGGATCCTTCCCTCGCTCCCTCGCTCGCTCGCGCTGGGTCTCCTAGCCCTGCGGTGCGCCCGAGCGAGTGCGGGGCGAGGGGCCCCGGGCCAGCGCCGAGCGCGGCCGGCCGGAGAGTGGCCATGTGTGGAGCGGGCGCCGCGGGGCCCGTCTGCAGCGAGTGACCGCGCGGCGTGAACGGCCGCCCGCCTCCCCTCCGCCTCCCCCTCCGCCTTTTGCCACCTGGGGCGGCGCGGCCCGGGCGCCCCGAGCCCGGCTCGCGCGTAGAGCCGGAGCCATGCACGTGCGCTCGCTGCGCGCCGCGGCGCCGCGCGGCTTCGTGGCGCTCTGGGCGCCGCTGTTCCTGCTGCGCTCCGCCCTGGCCGACTTCAGCCTGGACAACGAGGTGCACTCGAGCTTCATCCACCGGCGCCTCCGCAGCCAGGAACGGCGCGAGATGCAGCGGGAGATCCTCTCCATCTTGGGCTTGCCGCACCGCCCGCGCCCCCACCTCCAGGGCAAGTACAACTCCGCGCCCATGTTCATGCTGGACCTGTACAACGCCATGGCGGTCGAGGAGGGCGCGGGGCCCGACGGCCAGGGCTTCTCCTACCCCTACAAGGCGGTCTTCAGTACCCAGGGCCCCCCTCTGGCCAGCCTGCAGGACAGCCACTTCCTCACCGACGCCGACATGGTCATGAGCTTCGTCAACCTCGGTGAGTGGGGGGCGGCGGGGGGGGGGGGGTGGCAGTGCGCCCCTGCCGGGGGGGGGCGCTCGGGACGGGGTGTTGTGCGTCCTGCTTAAGGACGCCTTGGGAGGGGGTGTGCCCATGTTGGGGGCGCTCTGAGACCCGGAGGGAGCCAGCGCTACGTCCATTCATCTGGCCATTCAGCGCCCTTCGCAGCACCGCGGGTACTCGGCGCGATCCGTCCCCCAAGTGCCCCGGGGTCTCCGCGGGCTGTCCCCCCCCCCCGTCTGGCTCAGCTGGCCCGCGACGGTGGGGGATCGCGAGGCCGGGGCCCGTGGGACGCCTCGTCGGGGTCTGGCGCCTGCCTGGCCGCGGCTCAGTTCAAAGCGCTCGGCCGGGTCTGTGAGCCGTCCCGGCCGCCTCGGCCTCCGCTACCTGGACTTCGAGGGCCCTTCTGGGCGAAGCTGCCTTCCCGTCCTTCCTGGGCCCGTCTCCGCCCGGCCCGGCCCTGGCACCGCGGGCGTCGCCCTCCCTTCCCGCCCCGGCCGGCCCTCCCTGTCCCCTCGCGGTGCGCCTGCTCCGTGGCGCCGCGTGCCCCGCGCGCCCCGCGCCCACCGCGCGGCTGAAGCTGGGGGGAGAAATGTTGCCATCGCGAGCTTTCTATTTTAAATATTTAATGATAGGTCCCGAGCGGGCAGGATCCATTTCCAGCGTTTATCACGTGTGGCGCGCAAACCACGGGTTCTGGCGATTGGGCGGCTGGCGTGAGGTCTCGGAGCAGAAGCCGCGGCGGGGTCGGCGGGGTCGGCGGGTGCCCGCTTCCTTCCCACCTGGAGGCCCTAGGACCGCAGGGACGCTGGCCCCGGAGTCCACTCCCCCACCGCCCCCCCCCTCCTTTGAGACTTGTACAAACTGACCCCCGGCAGGCAGCGCGCTTTAGGGGCTGACAATCAAATATTTGGCTTTGGAGATAATAGGCCAGGAGAATGCTGTTTCCTGAGCCCCTTCATTGCACTTGTGTAACTTGCAGCGAAATCCCCAACCAAGTGAAGTCAGCAAACAGGCCCACGGGCGGGAGCTGGGTCTACTTGAGAATAATGTGCCCCTTGCTGGGCACCTGGGGTGCCTGGGGGAGGGGCTGGGGGAGGCGAGATCTGCCTAGATGCTCCCTTCCACACCGAGTCTCCAGATTCCCGAGGTGGGGGGGGGGGATTGTCTAGTCAAAAATCAAAGACTAGCATGAGGCTCAGGAGCAAGGAGGTGGGAGACCGAGATTTCAAAATAACTTAAAGCAAGTTGAAGTTAGCCAAGCCTTTAGCTGTGTGTCCCTTTGTAGGTGTATGGATCGCTGGAGGGACTGCAGTTTATGGCCCACAGGAACTCGACACTGGGAACTGGAGTCTGATTTTTTTTTCAATTGTGCTTGTGTGTGTGGTTTTCCAAATGTGTGTGCTTGTTGCTGATATCAAGAGCTAAAGAAAGATTCTAACAGCACGCATGTGTGTGCCGGGACTTCTGTAGCCCTGGATGCCCGCCCTGCTCAGCTCAGCAGGCCTTTTCTTTGCACTTCACATGGTGTTCTCTCTTGATTCTCACACAACACTGTAGGTCCCAGAACTACACTCAGCCTGGCTGGAGTTCCTTTTTTTTTTTTTTTTTAAGTATTTGTAATCACTGACTTGAGTAGCAGGCTTTGCCAACCACGTGCAAATTCTGCCCTGCTGCTTCTCCTGGAAGGGCGCTGTGGCATCCCGTAGGAGAGCCCGGGCGCTCCGGGTGCTGCTGGGAACTCAAGGGCAGGGCTGGGCGCTCCCCCTCAGCCTGAGAGCAAGCTGAGGCTTGCCTGGGAAGGCCACAGCTGGGTGGTTTTCCTCTTCTGGCTGCACGCATACCTTTCAGTCCAGTTCTTTCATCTTGAAAGGACAAAGACTGGCTTGTCTGAGCCTCTTAATCAGCCGGCTGGCTGGCTTTGGGCTTTGTGGGACCGGCCTGACTTTCTCAGGTCTAGCTTTCTGGAGCATCACTGCAAATTAGATGGCCGAGTGGCTTTTAAGAGAGCGCACGGTGACCTTGTTTTCTTTCTTTCTCTCTGTCCCCAAACTCGAGGTAATTAGTTAGGGGAAGAACAGTCTGTAGTCTGGTGAACAGCTTTCTGCTAAATGCCCCAAGGGTGTGTGTGTATTTCTGCTCAGCAACAGCACAGGAATCAACCCTCTATCCTTTCTGTCACAAGAGGCTCCATAGGAGAGACTCAGGGTGGAAGTTGGTATGGAGAGGGGTGTGTGTAAGTGTGTGTGTGTGTGTGTGTATGAGAGAGAGAGAGAGGGATGGGGGGAGGGAGAGTGAGAGGGAGCGAGGGAGAGAGACAGACACCCTGATCTGTGTTGGCCAGGAAGCCAGTTTTCTCTGGGGCTGCAAATCACGTTGATCTGTAATATACAAAGCTGTTTAAAGCCAAGTTTGTTCTCACACTTCACCTAAGAGTGAGAAAATATCACTTGTTCACGTCAAACCATTGCATGTTTCCTTGACTTTGAAGACCCCTGGTGAGATTCTTGTATTGGGGGGGAGGAGAGTTGAGGGGGGGAAATGGTGGGAATGTTCCCTGCCACCCCTCCCCCTCCGGCATACTTCTGCTGTCCTGTAGGCCTGCCTGCCTCCCTGCCTGCCTGCCTGCCTGCCTGCCTGCCTGCCTGCCTGCCTCCCTGCCTGCCTGCCTGCCTGCCTGCCTGCCTGCCTGCCTGCCTGCCTGCCTGCCTGCCTGCCTGCCTCCCTGCCTCCCTGCCTCCCTGCCTGCCTGCCTGCCTGCCTGCCTGCCTGCCTGCCTGCCTGCCTGCCTGGGGACCCTGCCTGCATCCTGAAGGCTTTTGGAGACCTGTTGCCTTTATTCTTCCCTCTGTCCACAGCCACCCTGGTTTCTGTTCTTATACGTTCTTCTCCTTGGAATTCGAGCTTTTTGCCAGGCTGAGCAGGATCTGTTCTACAGGGGGAATTTACGACAAAACCATGTGCTCCCTCGAGAGCTTTAGAGGGTACCTGAGACCAAGGCCAGCCCCCATGAGCCCTCCAAAGCAGGCAGCCAGGGCAGCTGGCTACTTGAGCCAGCCTCACGTCTCCCCAGCTCAGGCCCCTTAACTTCAATGGGAAGATCAGTAAACTGGTTTGGATTAAAAAGTCCCCGACTCCTCCATGTAGATTTAATTTGGGAATTTGAAACAGGCTCCTCTCTCCTAAATAGTCCCCAGGCGACGGCGATTCTAAGATGACTCTCCCCTTAGCCCTGCCGGCTCATTCTTTTCTTTGGAAAACCCAGCAGCTCTGCTTAGAATTTTCTAGACAGGCCGGCTGGCATGGGGGTAGGTGACCCGTGTTTATCTCTGGGGCCAGGTTATGAAGGAATGAAATTTGTTTCATCTTTGATGCTCATTTGGAAACAACAACAAAAAAGACACAGAGCTGAAACCTGGTTGTTCTGGAAGCCAGCGGCAGGGAAGGGGCTTTGGTGACTGCGACCCGGAGCTCGAGCGAGGAAGGGGCTGTGCTTGGAGGCTGGCTGGTTGCTTTGACCATCTGGCCGTCCTTTTTGTTGACAAGTGTTTGGCATTAAGAGCTCGCCTTCTCCCCCTTCAGAACAGGCCCTACCACTGTAGAGTATTAGGAAAAGATTCTGTTACAGTTTAAAAATGTCCGCAGGCCGGCCGGCGCTGCAGCTGCAGCCTGGCTTGTGTTAGGCTTTGGAAGGGGTGGGCTCCGCATTCCAGCGCAGCGCGGCTCTCCTTGGGCCGCGGCCAGGGGTTAATAGAGATGTCACACAGGCTCCCCCTTCTCTCCCGCACCCTCTTTCTCCTCCTGCGGCCGGCCTTCGCGCCAGGAGTGGACCAACAGCTGTGTTTTTAGTAAACCTTTCAAAATCACTTCTTCTAAAGCTCATTTTCCTGCTTATATAAATCAAAGATTGCTCCCCTTCCCCTTCTCACCCCCCACCCCCCACCGGGGATCTCTGTAGGTGACCCATGTTTGAACTTTTGGGATCCTTCTGTGGCTTTCCCTTCTAGAATCAAAGCAGGATGAGGTTGAGTCCCGGATGCCAGCTTGGGTGGCTTTTTTTGGGGGGAGGGGGGCGGGAGGTTGGATTCCAGAGCTGTTGTTTAGTGACAAGGTCCTCATGGAAGGAGCAAGGGAGGCAGCCCAGATAAAGGAGGTTGGGGGCCTCGAGGGGGGCAGGGGATGGTTGTTTGAAGGTGGGATTGGGCCTTACCTCCCCGCCGTTGGCGGCCATCACGCCTCTGCCCGGATAAACACAGCTGGTGGACTGTCCCCTGGCCCGCATGCCTGCGATGCGAGCGAGTATCACATGCCCCCCGCCCCCCACGAATGGTGACTTCATTCTAGGGAGAGCCCATCTGAACTGATTGATTACCCGTATCGCCCGCTATCTTGCCCAACCCCGTTTGCTAAGGTCATATTTGGCCCACGGTGGGGATGAGTGTCCTCAGGCTGCCCTCCTCCGCCCTTCCTGGCCTGCTGAACTCTTATGGAACCCAGGACCCGGTGCGCCCAGCTGCTGCGCCCAGCTGTGGCCACGGTGCCCAGGGCTGTGGACCCACTGGGTTTTGGCCTTCAGGCCAAGTATCCACCAATGCACTCCAGTGGGGGGGAGGGTGTGGGGGGGCCCTCTGGGGTCAGGCCCAGGCAGGGATGTGGGGACCTGTCATGTGGTCGTCTGCAGGAATTTGGGGGTGAGCTTAGAGCGGTATGGTGCGGCTGTGGCGTTTACTATAAAAGACTTAACTTCCATTGGCAAAATCAATGCATTGAATTTCACAACCTTCTGCTTTTAATTAGTTTAAATCAAATGAGCCCGGGCCATTTTTTTTAACCGCCTCTCGCCTTCATGGCGTGAGGAAATACCAATATTTACATAGAAACTGTTAATTTGCGGTGCAAATGATAACGCGTTCAGCTTTACACAGCACAATGGCTCCAGCTTCAGTATCCCCAGAGCAACGCGGGGACGGGGACCGAGG